AAGCTTTAGTCAGAATCTTATAACTTAACACGAATCGCTTCCGGATAATCATTGTTCTACTGTACGAAGCATTATAATTTAAGTCAGTTTCCGAAACACAAGAAATGTCAATATTAAGAAGACATCATGAACATTCAGCATTATTAACGTAAAAAATTCGAAATACAAAACAAGACATACAGTTGTCATAAATAAACAATCAAATAACATATAAAATATAATATATGAATACATCAAACTAAATCGTATCTTATCAAATAGTTTTTCAACGATTTTTATTTTACATTTTTTTTAAAAATCCTATTTTAGAAAGTTCAGTGCAATTGTAATATATAGTTTCCCCCCCCCGTCCAGATTTGCTAATAGTAGTTTTATAACATGTTTCTCTACACCCAACGAATATTGGACAAAGTCTTGTTAGTGAATCATTGGAATGACCATACTTTTTGATGAAACTTCTGATGAATGGTACTGTTCTTCACTTATTCAGAAGTAGCATACACATTGCAGTGCAGTGTTTCGCATAATTATACACCGTGTTATTCACAAAAGTCCTTAACCGAGCTTTATTTTCAGAACTGCTGCTTATAGACATATACTTCCAGTTGCAAAAATATTTTAAATGACTCAGATATTTATAATTCATTCATATGGTGTTTGCAATAGTTAAAATATTAATTCTTTTGGCATCTTTAAACTTAAAAAATGAATTTTATAAAAATTATGAAATCTAGCATTTTATGTATTCCTTGGGTTGGGAAAATTTTACACTCCTCATGAAAAATAAAAAGTGTGACTCCCGTACGACAAAAATTGACTTAAATATCTCATTTTATAGTTTAGTTAGTTGAGTAAGTAGGAAGGCTTTGAATAGGAGTGCTTTCTCTCAAGATAAATCCGATACCATTCATATCTGCTCTCATAAAATTTGAGTTTTAACGCAAATAGGATATATTCCCGCTTGGCCAATCTTCCAGCATTGCGGTGCTAAAGTATATTTTTATTTTAAATAAAGAAACTGAATTTAAGAAAACAAAAAAAGGGGGGAGAACCAACTGATGGTTTCAGAACTAAATGAAGAGTTTAAAATTCAAACTGGATGAAAATCCTCAAAGACACTAATTTGGACAGGCAGTAAGTAAAAAGCATGGGGGGAAAAGGGGGGCAGCCCAACCGGAATAGTGGGTTAGCGTTGCTGACTGCCGTGCCGAAGGGCCCGAGCTGGAATCCCGGAGAAGGCATGGCTGTTTCTAAATGTATAGTGTCCGTGCGGCATGGGGGCACTCTAAGTATGATGCAAGCCGAAAGTCCTCTCGAGAGGTTGTGGTAGGGAAAGAGGGGGTGGTAGGGAAAGAGGAGGTCGGAAGCCGTTCCCCCCCCCCGAGGTGCTCTCCATCAAAATTGGGGGCGGAAACTCACTGTCACATGTAAAGTGTTCAAGGCTGTTGCCAACGGCAGGCGTATATCTTGCGCTCCTTGCCACGAGAAATTTCGCGGGCTTGGGCTGACTATAGGTCAGACAAGCGAGCATTAGTCAACAATAACAACAAAATAAAAGCTCATTGTCGGTTCTGATTTCGAGGTGAAATTTCTTTCAAAGCGTTTATAAGCTTATTATTGTACAAAGTTACGTAATTTTATAATTCTGATTATAATACGTACATTTAAGTATTATAAATTGCCATAAATTTGGATTCTATTTTGATTCTAAAATTGTCTTTTAATAAGAATTCATACACTCTCTCCCCTTTATTGTGGAATTTATTGCCTGGCTTATTGAATTTATATATTTCCTATTTTAAATCACTGATTTATCGAAAATTTGTCTCGATTTATTGTTCTCTCGATTAACGTCGTTGGTCTAGGATTGAACTATTGTACACTTCCGGTGTAATATTATATCTTAAATTTACTACTTTAAAATACGCTAAATAAACCTCAAACTTACTACAAAAAATAATCAAAATCCTGTACAAAAATTTAGTTTATTTATATATTTGTGAAAAGTAAATTAATAACGGCTTTCGTGTTGCCTACCCTATTTACAGTACGTGATAATCTCTCGCATATTAGATATAAAAATAGCAAAAAATTTAAGTTGCATGTAATTTCTGTATAAAAATACTAATTTGACACTTTGCCGTGATTCTTATCTCAGCTTTCTTATTTATTCCCGAATATGCATAAAAGTATGATTTTATCTATTGATTATACTTTTTTAATTATGTTTCCAGAAGTGAATTTAAACGGGTCCGTCACACTTAGCCGACAACCACTTAACCGACACCAGTTAGCCGACAGGACATTTGGCCGACACGGACACTTAGCCGACAGGACATTTAGCCGACAAGGACACTTAGCCGACAGGACGTTTAGCCGACAAGGACACTTAGCCGACAGGTCATTTAGCCGACACGGACAGTTAGCCGATAAGACATTTAGCCGACAAGGACACTTAGCCGACAGGACATTTAGCCGACACGGACAGTTAGCCAATATGACATTTAGTCGACACGGACAGTTAGCCGACAGGACATTTAGCCGACACGAACAGTTAGCCGACAGGACTCATAATTGACAGGACATTTAGCCGATACACAGAATGTGCCGTCAGGGCATTTAGCTACGGGACAGTTAACTGTCAAGGCATTTAGTCAACAGGACACTAAGCCGACAGTGACGTTTAGCTGACGCGTACCTAATAATTATTTAAATTTACAATCAATTACAAAATTTCTCGACTTCTCCATTGAATTCAATATTTAAGTTATTTATTGCACCTATCAGTAAAATTCAGTTTTCGATTCTTGAAGATCTCATATGTGCTTTTAATTATTGTGTTAAAATTTAGCATTGTTTGATATGTTATCGTGCTGTTTGGTGTATATTGGCTAAATTGAAAAAGCGCTGAAATTTCTCGTCAGGGAATATGGATTAAATTTCGAAAGGAAAAGAATTTTTTTAGCTAAGTACGACGGTCACTTTCAATTCCCATATTAAAATGTAATTCACAATTAATATGGGTTCTTCAAAAATTATCCGTAAAGCTTCTTCATTTAATCAACTTTCACATCATAAATAATTTTTCTTGTTTACTTAATGATATTAAATTTCCAATCTCGCTCTTCCAAATGCTTTCGAAATTCTAATATATTTACGTTTCATTACTATTTTGCTCATCACATCCTGTTACATTCTTTCCCTTAAAAAATCATTTGGCTTCTCCCACTAATGAAATTTCCTTTCTCTGCCATAAAAAATCTGAATAATTCAGTAAAAATATTGTTATTCTTGAATTATACTTTTTCATAGAAACATATGGCGGTGAGGGTTAGTTTAGCGAATATATTTTATTTTGTTATTAAAAACAATTAAAAAAGGGAATTTTTAAGACCAGCAAAGGTATAAATTATTTGTGACCTCTATAATTTGCAGTTCATGCCACCATCCTTGAGATAAAAATTCTGTAACATTTTATTGACCATGCTTCTCGCTTAAAATACTTACTTAGGTTAATGTTTATAGCTAACAGACAAGCTGTTTTCGTGGCTTTTTCCATGTGTAACATGTATACAAGGCAGTTTTCCTTAGAAAGTCCTCCACGAAGGCATCCCTCCCCTTAGGCAAATAGCCCTCTGGCTTTGCCGTAATTACATAAACCAAACTTACTTCTGTTATGTTGCCGCTAAACCAAAAACGAGAAAGAGAAGGAATGAAAGAGAAAAAAAAAAAAATAAAAATAAATAAATAAATAAAATGAATGAAAAATGAAATGAAAATTTATACATTTTTAACAGATATTGAGAAAAGTTATATTTTATAAGAAAAACATTAATATAACATATTATATTGCAAATTACAGATCGCGACTTTCAAAACATAGTAAATAATATTATCTATTTACATGACAGATACAGTTAAATCTAGCATCGTTAGATGGCACTACATTACGGTGACTTTTCATGATGTGTCGCTTTGCTCCGCCCTTCTTTGGGGCCCCTCCTTCTGCAGCTTCAGAATAAAACTAAACCTTAAAGAATATTTTACTTCTAAATTAAACATTATGTACTAATTTAGGGCAATAAACATTAACCTAAGTAAGTATTTTAAGCGAGAGGCGTGGTCAAAAATGTCACAATACTTTTATCTCAAGAATGGTGGCATGAACTGCAAATTGTAGTCACAAACAATTTATACCTTTGCTTGTCCTACAAATTCACTTTTTTTTTAATTGTTTTTAATAGCAAAATAAAATATATTTCCTAAACTAACCCTCACCACCATATGTTTCTATATAAAATATAATTCAAAAATAAGAATAATTTAGAATAATTATCAAGGAACAAGTAAACAAGGGAAATTATTAATCATGTGAAAGTGTTCAAAAGAACCCAGTTGATTAAATGACGAAGGATTACGAATAATTTTTGAAGATCCCACATTAAAATGTAATTAAGTGACCGTCGTACTGTAGCTAAAAAAAATTTTTTTTTTCTCCTTTCGAAATTTAATTCATATTCCCTGACGAAATATTTCTGCGCTTTTTCAATTTGGCCAATATACACCAAACAGAGCACGATACATATCAAACAATGCTAAATTAACACAATAATTAAAGCACATATGAGATCTTTAAGAATCGAAAACTGAATTTTATTTATAATAAAAAAAAAATAACTTAAATATTGAACTCAATGGAGAAGTCGAGAAATTTTGTAATCCATAGTAAGTTTGTATAATTGTTGGGTAAGTGTCAGCTAAACTTCATTGCCGGCTTAGTGTTAACTAAATGTCTTGACAGTTAAGTGTCTCGTAGCTAAATGTCCTGACCACTATAATAAATGGCAATTAGTCCCTGTCGGCTAAATGTCCTGTCGGCTAAGTGTCCTTGTCGGTTAAGTGTCCGTGTCGGTTAAACGTCCTGTCGGCTAAATGTCCTGTCGGCTAAGTGTCCGTGCCGGCTAAATGTCCTGTCGGCTAAGTGTCCATGTCGGCTAAGTGTCCTTGTCGGCTAAATGTCTTGTCGGCTAACTGGTGTCGGTTAAGTGTCCCGTCGGCTAAGTGGTTGTCGGCTAAGTGTCCGCGACCGAATTTAAACTTGTATACAGTATTTTGAAGTTAGCAAAACAACGTTAATTACAAGATTACATACAAAATTAATATTTAAGTTATAGGAAATCAAGTACACTAATAATAATAGTAATAATAATAGCAACAACAACAATAATAATAACAGTAAGTAATTCATTACAGTAATTTATCAGTACCTGTTATTTAATTTTAAAGTAAAAAAAAAAAAATACGACGGTATCACATTCATTCTAGAAAATTATGAACGATTTTGATTGTGATTTATTAAAGAATTACATATCTGTTTTAATATACATATAAAACGTAAAGTTCTCAAATATTAATTATACTATTCAATCATGAAACTCGAGGTACAGATTTTGATCCATTCTATAAACTTTCCCAAACATTTTATTTGAATTTTAAAATCCTTATTCTCTGCTTTGTAACACAATTAATCAATAGATTATATACCATTTGCTTTTTTTAATCATTTTTAACAACTGAAGGGATAATATTATTTTCTTTTATGAGGAAAACCATGTCCATCCAGGATGAAGAAGGAAACTGTTGCCAATCTGCATCGTAAAAGATCTTTCTTTTAATATTCTAATTAAGATAATACATTGCTTGTTAGTGTAACAAATCGAGCCATTTAAAACCACATGGAAACTAAATAGCAGTCTGGATATTCTAGGATGAGAATGAATTTTAATAGCATTGATATCATTAACATAAGTAATAAATGACATTTTTAATGTCATACATAATGCTCCTTTTATACAGAACCTTTCTCTATCGTCTCTATATCACAAACGAAAATTTTATTAAAGCAGTAAAATTATGCAGAGCCATATTCATTACATGAATACTTCAAGTACAAGTTAGAACAAATTCTAAATTGAAAGAAAGGATAGATTAATATGAAAATAATCATAACAAATATTTAAGGAGTACAATTTTGTGAATTCCTTTAAATTTTAAAGTTAAAATTTATTGGTTCGGTTCTGCTTAATGCAATCATTTGCAAGTTTTCCTCCATTAAAAATATTATTTAAATTGTAAAATTTGCTCTAATTCGTTGGCAACTATACAATATTTTTATTTGAAAAAGAGAGTGAGCTAATACTTGTTTGATTTCATACTGGTTTTATTTCAGCTAAATTTGATGTTTACTGTGTTTGAAATAGTTAGAGTTTATAATATGTATATATAAAATCTGAAATGTTTACATTTTTTTCTAATTTTCATGTCATATGCATATACAAGTAAATATTTTCTTATTACATAAAAATTCGATTTCTAATTTTTTACCAATTATTTTTTAAAAATTCATAATGCATACAAAGTAAATGTTTTTTTATTGTGAAAAGGAAGAAAGACTGGATAAACATTCTCTGATGAAAAAAAAAATTAAAAGAAAATTTCTATTTCTATTTCCTTTCTTTTTTTCATATTTATCTTTTAATGTTTACATATTGCATGTAAAAAGTAAATAGTTTTCAGTATAAAAAGGGGGAAAACGAGGTAAATATTCTGCTATTGTAAAATAATGCGACTTTTAATTTTTTTTCTTTTTTATAAAGATTTACATGGTGTATATACAGAATTTCATTGTTGGAGGGGGGGGAGAAGAGACAGAGAAGGAAAATAAGAAACGAGGGGGGGAATCGATTTCTACGTTTGTTTTCGTTTTTCTTTTTATTATTTATTTATTTAAGTTTACGCATCGCACATACAAAACTAATATTTTGTATTGATTTCAATCCATTTTAAAATCGATTTCTTATCAATTTAATTTGATACTAGTTTATGCAAAATAAGTTTAATATGTTTTTGTTATGTTATGTACAAAATATGCTTTAATATGTTTAAGCATCAACCAAAAGGACCAAACTACAAATTTCTTAAAACATTCTTTTGGCACATGACAGTCCTTTAAAATATTGATGAGTGATGTAATCTGTTTCATGAAATACACAAAATTCGCTCCCTGACGGATTAAAGAACACTTAACATTTCGTCTCATATTAAACTAAAAAACACACAAATGTTTAATAAACACATAAAAGTCCAGGACAAATAAACACACAAATGCAAATCATAGTTCACTATTCTTCATTTTCATGAACAGACTAACAATTCATAATTTATGTATAGATTTAAATCAAAATCAGAGATAACGTCAGAAAATTAAAGAAAAGTAAGTTTAATGAATTAGGAAAGATAATGCCTTCGTAACGAACCATAAAAAATAAACAAGCTTTAGTCTCTTTCAGAGGCAGACCTGATTACTACCCAGGCCTACAAAGTTCTAGATTTTAGATACCGATTAGTCTTTCCATAATTCCTCATTATAATTTGTTCCTCTCATAAAAGCAAGGAAAGTGAGTGTCTTGGGATTCCCAAGAATGCTGTGCCCACAGCTTTAGACTGTTTTCATAGGGCTTTGAACAATCAATATTATAACTAAAAAAATACGTCATTTTTTTTCTTAGTTATATTATTAATCTTCAAATCAGAAATGATTGGAAAATGAGTTTATGGAAAATTTCCAGTAGTTCTCCTGTTAAATACAAATGCTTAAAAAAGTTAAGCACCACAGTCTTTCTGCAGCAACTATACTAAAGCTCATGTATTTCGGAGAAAATTTAAGATCACAAAACAGAGCACACACACACACACACACAAATTATTTAAATGATTTTTAGAATTCTGTTTTATCCCTTCTGAATGGAAAAAGTCAAAACTTTTTATGTATATAGTATCTGAAGAAGCGTTCACGACATTGGTGTAGTCGTCATTATTGTTATAAAGCTGTAACAGTTATTAACTCCGTTCTCACCTGGGAAATAGGATTTAAACTGAAGCCAATCAAGAAGCTAAACCTGCGCATGCATGAATGCATAGCTGATTGAAAGTCGAATGTCAGTTCGGCTTTGCTTCACTATTATTGGTCGATTCTTATTCCATCTTGGCATAAAGTTGAATAGTTAAAACATTTAGATAAATATTGATACATATACCAGTTTCCATGACGTAACAAGGTCAGGCTGCCTAGCACTGAAGTCCGGCTTATGCCATTTATGAACGCAAAATTCTCGTGTAAATGCTTCACGAAACTCCATGGGTTAGAAAATACAAGTTTTATAGGCAGTGGTTAAATCCATTCTGCACTGCAGAACTGAAAGAAAGATTTAGGCAGCAATGTTTAAATTTTCTAGTTTAATAAAAGCAATTTGATATTAATATAAAAAAAAGGAATTAACCTCAGAGAAGTGATAGTTTAGGTTTAACGTTTTGCCTAGAATGACTTAAAATACGGGGGGGGGGGTGAAATTAAAATAAAGCATATACGTATCACTTATAAATAATGATGTCTTACAATAGATATCTCCAAAATGAATGTTTAATTAGAACTTTGAAGACAGTTAGTTTAATTACTATAAATTTACTAGATAAAATACCCAAAATCAGTGATTGTCTGTCAAAATGGTTCCAGATTCTAGGTTAAACATTTTTAAGTAACCCACGCTTATATATTTAATGTTCTAATAACTATTCTTAATAAAAAATATAATCTTTCATCAAATACTTTATCTCGTACTTCCAGCAGAACAATGAATGAATTGAGTGAAGAATTGTAATTAAATGAAACTTCTATTAACTACTGAATTAACACATTTATTTGGAAATTTTATTTAAATGTAACTTAATCTTATAATCCCAATAGACACAAGAGCAAGATAGCAATATATTTTCACTAAAATATGTCAATTATTAAAAACTTTCTATATTTATAGAAAATTTTAAGAATATTTAATGGTTCAACTATATGGAGGCGTTTTTTGAAACCAAATATTGTACTCTGAATAACATTTTGAAAAAGTTAAGAAATCTTAATACACTTTTTTGACTTAAATAACTTAAGTAATCCATCTGTTTGTTAAAATAACCTAGTGAGCATAATACAAAACTGAATATCAAGCCAAATATTTTTTTTCATATACATTTTACCATAAATTCTAAGACGCAGGAGAAAGTGAAGCAACAGCTTAAATGTTTCTTTAAGGAAATCCGAAAACTTTCAATATATATCGACTTTGACTAGAGCGTTGAGAATAAAAATAAGTACAATAGTAAGTAATGCGACAAAGAGAATAAATAATTTTTTGCATAGGCACATTGAAAATACTGGAGAGCATTTCAAAAAGCGGCGAAACATCTAGAAAATAATAAAAATGTTAAGTAAATCACTGTTTCTTAAAGAATAAGATAGCAGTATTGCTCTGAAGCATGGAGATCTAGGTGGTAATTCGGAGGAAACATACAAGTCCTCAGCAATACATAGCGTCACGAAACATATAAAATATAAGAACACAGAGGTTGAGAACGGTATATCACAGGGAAATTGGTGTACCAAGAAACTCCCACACAGATTCGGGTTTCCCAGTAGCAAGAAGTAGGCCATCAAGAAGGTTGAGGGTGTCCATCCCACAAAAAAGGAATTGATCAACCATCGTGGAAATATCACTATTTCCTTTGGTTGTTCATTGATGGGACAACATTTAGGTGCTGGAGAAATTATGGTTTTGATCAAGTTCTTAGTTTAGATTGGTCACTTTGGTCCTTCTGTACTGCGCCTTCGTCATCTTCATCGTCTTCGTCGTCCCTTCTCTGAGCAACCTATGATGAATGAAAAACATCAGTTTAGAAAGAATTATAAGAGTTGATCTATTGAATTACTGTATTTTAAATTTACTGTCTAACATGTTAAAAAGAATAAAGCACGATTTGAGATTTTTTTTTCCAATTAGTTTTTTTAACATATTCCAAAAAACCTGACGTGGGCACCACATTGACTTCCTTACACGGTCTTTTAAATTATGCAAATTTTTTTCTGCGTTTCATTTAAACTTATTTCCCCGAATTTCGTTAGAGATATATTTCTCATTCAATCAATTCAATTCTCAGTTCGCGGCAAGGGAAAAAAATACATAAAAACTCAAAACATTTTCATTAAAAATTGTAAACTACAGAAAAACCTAAAACACCAAAACCGTTTATAAAACAATAAAAATCATTCAAAAAAATTTTACAATTAAAATTAATTAATAATAAAGCTAAAAAGACAGATCGGGGGGGGGAGAGGGAGATTAGCAGGAGTGAGTGCAAGAGCAAACTTGTAAACTGCGAGCTCGGAAAAGCGTATAAATCATAACAAACCCTTTTGCGAGACCATTAAATTCCGAAAGCTTTCATGTTTTAACGATTAATCACGAAACGAATAACGAAATTTTCAGATTCGATTTTGTAATATGATTATTCTTTATTTAAGTTTGTTTCCAATTCTTTATAAATAATTGTTATTTTGCTATTTTTATTACTGGTATAAGCTGAAATTTTTTTAATAAATAAAGTAGAACTTTCTTTCTTTATCTTTTGCAATAAAATGAAAAATAATTAATTCTCCCCCCAAAAGTTCATGCAATGAAACTGTTAAATTCACTAGCTATATAATCATGTTATATATGAATAAAATATAAACATAATTATATTAATACACAATAAGTTAAGAAAAAAAATTTCTCCATCAGAGAAGAAACTTGCTAATTCTGCTCAGACTGAAAATACATATATTGCAATAAAATTTCAATTTATTTATTGCAATAAAATGAAAAATAATTAATTTTAATTCCTCCCCCCCCAAAAAAAAATCCATGCAGTGAAACTGTTAAATTAACTAACTATATAATCAATCTTTTACATATGCATAAAATACAAACATAATTGCTAATTCTGCTCATTATATTATTAAGCTGTTTAATAATACATAAAAGAGCACTTCAAAACTTCCTATGTAATTTGTTATCTTTGTAATTCGTATACGCTGATGCCATTTGAAATGCATGGTACGCAAAAATGTCATTTATGAAAATTTCTCTTTAACTGTGCAATGTAGCTGAGATGAAAGTTTATTATCATACCCGCAAATTTTCTTTTCCTTTTAAATTTATCCATTCTGAATTACAAAATAGCAATAATGAAAAATGAAATACGTAATAATGAAAAATATTCTCTTTCCTTAGATTATTTTTACAATGATGCAAATTGGATTTTGTAATACAATTACTTTTTTTATTTAATTTCTTACCTATTCTTTTTAAATAATGTTTATTTTGCTATTATTATTATTATTGATAAAACTGAAATGTTTTCAATCCCGCCTTAATTCATAAGCAAATATTAGCGCAAGTACAGAAAAATATACATGTAAACCAAATATAAATAACCAAATAAAGAAAACCAAATATAAATTACCAAAGAAAGATTATAGTAAACATAATGAATCAGGCTAGTTAAATTATAGGAAATGAAGAAAATTAAATTTGTAATATATCAGTGCTATATATGACTAAATTACAGTTGTTGCCTCTGTTATTAAATATAATAATGAAGATTGATTTAGTTTAGTTTATTTAACTAAAAGCACTCGAAGGCTATCTCCCTAAAGGAAGCAATGCCTTCACGGAAACACTTTCTAAGAGACACTGGCTAAAATATACGTCGTTACACCTGAGGAAAACCACGAAAATGCCCACACAGTCGGCCTGTTCGCTGGGATGCGAACCGCAACGCTCGCGATAGCACGTAACTACAATGCGAGGCTGCCAGAAGTTTTAAATCTAAAATATTCAAAGCCTCGGCTTATATACCTGTAAACGCAATGCATTAATATTATTTAAAATATATTTTCCCCGAGTGGCAACGAGAGAGTTTTTTGATGGAAGCCGATTTGAACGGTAATGTGTTTTTGAAGTGCGCATAGTAATTTCTTTTCTTTTTTTTCAGTTTTATCGTCTCAGGAAGCAGAATGCGAGAATAAAGATTTATTAACATAAGTGAAGAATATTTCTTAAAGAAAGTAAGTTAAGCTAACACACCCAACACTAATTTGCATTCTTGTGCAGACAACGGAAAGAAAAATTTTAAGTAAACATTCAAATCATAATACCTGGTTAATTAACATAAAATTATTTACATTCAACGTTAAATTTTAAAAACGGTTCCTAGAAAACAAACCGGTAGACATTAGTAGCATTGCATTTGCTATTTATTAAAACCACAGAATTTGATAATTATATTTTTATTGTTTCATTTCACTTTTATTAAATCATACATTAATGTTTTTATTTCATGCAATGTGGTTACATAACAGGAAAATTAAAAATTTTCAATTGTTTAAATATTTGCTCCGTAAAATTTATTGGGCGAATAAGAATAATTTCTAACCCATTAGTAAATAAGGTACTAGTCAAAATTTTATATTAAGTGTATTGTTATATTACACAAATTAATGACAGGAAATTAGAAACACTCCAGTGTGTGATATTTCTCCAAACAATCAGGAACATGTAATGCAACACATTTTGCATTCCCACGTTGTTTCACTGCGCTTCTTATGCTTCGCACAAACTTTACAAGTCTTCGTTCATTTTTGTTTTGAAGCGGTTGGATTAATATGTTTTGGAAAATGTCGCCAATTTCGTCCCTGCAATCTTTCTGGTGTATCTCCAGTAGGTATCTGTCCTAATCTGTTACAGTTTGATTGCGCAGCTTTCATTGATAATTCTGCTGAGACTAGTCTATATTCGGTTTCATGAATCTATTGCAACTATGCCAATAATAAACGACAAGCTCTTATGTTGCAGCTGTAGCAGATAATAACGTAAAAACAATCCCGTGTCCGATACCAAGTTCTTATTTTAGGCACAGAAAATGGATTACATATCTGACACTTGGTTCTCATTTTTGGCCAGAACAAGGCATCACATCTCCCACACGTTGTTTTAAGGTTTCCATTCTTGAAGTCCGTTGAAAGCGTAATTGCAAATGTCCAAGGAAGTGTCAATGTGTATTTTAGAAAACACAGATAGGATTCCTGTTATTGTTGACTGCGAAACCGACACGGGAATGCTTCTTTCGTTGTTGAGAGGGAAGGGGAAACACTTTGTTTAGTCGACCTTGTTTTTGCAATACCCTTCCGGCATTTTTTTCATCTTGGGAGCTGAACCGGTTGCAGTCAAAAAAGCCTGTTTTGAAATCCTACAACTATCGTTTTCCTCAACCCTATCAGATGCAGACAGTAAAGATCAAACAGATATGAGGGCCTTAACTGAAATTAATTTACTTAAGAAACGGTTTCTTGGAAGTGAACAATGCTGAGTCGAAAGTTTTGTCAATTGACAAATGTTATTTCTACCTTGCTGATCCAGTCGGTCCAGGTTGGTTGATTTCGTAGACTAGCAATTTTCTAGGAACTGTTTTTCGAAAGACGAAACACGACAAAGCCCTGCCCAGGCACATTTAAATGCTTCAAATAAATTTCCTCAGTACGCAAAAGTCCTCACCCAGCCTTTATTTTCGCAACCGTTAATCGTAGACGCATTTACAAGTAGACTAGAAGAGAAACACGCTAATGTGGCAATAAAAATCGTAAAAACAACCTTGTATATTATACCTACGCTAAATATAAGGTTGTTTTTAAGATTTTTATTGCATTTACAAGTGTTTTAAATGTTACAAAAATATTTTAAATGATGCGAATATTCCTATTTTGCCATCTGTAGTAATAATAATAATAATAGTAAAACAAAAATAAAATAAATTTTGCAAAAACTACAAAATGCAGCTCTTTTTTTTTTTTTTTTTTTTTCTTTAACGTTCTTTCGGTCCCTATATTTGTACCTAGGAAACTAAATTATAAAAAATTACAGCACAAAATAGTTGAATCCCATACGGCTGATCCAGATACACAGCTTTAAAATTTGCGGTTTCTGACGTCATTTTCCACTTGTCTTGAGGGTTTAGTTAATAAATAAATTTGAATAATTTGAGGTTGATTTTTTTTTCTTTTAAATGCCATTTAATAGTATTCTTTTGTGATTTGCTAGTCTCATAAAGTTATATTTTTGTTACATTTGATAAGCCGAAAGAATTTATACGAAAGTTATTTATCTATTCACACGTTAAATTCGTTATTCACATGTCATTTAATATTTTCATGCAGTTTCATTACTATAGAATCACAGTCTAATAATCACATAAAAAGCAATTAAATAGAAATATTTTAATTTTTTTTTCTGAATATAAGTATGTATCCGGGAAAAAGCATAAAAGTGAAATTTCCTAATTATTAAAAACTGTTATTTTTTTTTTTTTTAATTAAGAGTACCTAAAGATGAAAATTCGCATTATTTAAAACATTTTTTTTTGACCTGGAAGTATATGCCTACGAACAGCATTTGCGAAAATAAAGGCTGGATACGGACTTTTGTGGATACGGCGCAAATAATGACATAGAAATCTGATCATGACAGTAGTGACTATGAAATAATTGCTTCTGAGGAGAGAAAGATAAAAATAGTTGATAAATCTTCCATACTAAGGAAAGAATATCATTTATAAGTTTCTAAAGAAACGCTAAAAGTATTGAGAATATCTCGTTTTCCTTGCTGCGTTTTGAGGACCACCAGCGGCCGAGCGTAAAGTCGCCGCTGAACACTGGTAATTCGGTTCTAGGTTCGAATAGCGCGAACGAGCCGGCTGCATAGGCGTTTTCGTGGTTTTGGCCTCGTGTAACGTGTTTCCCTTAGAAAGTCCTTCACGAATGCATCCCTCCTCTT